CCCCCCACTCTTTATTCCTTGCCCCTTCTGGCTTGCCTCAAAGTCGTTGTAGAAGCTTGAACTCATTTATTTAGCCGTGCGAAATGGCCAGAACGACCTGAGATATTCATTTCTGAAATTCACTTGGTTAAACTCACTCTTTCGACGCTTTTTAATTCCTCGACAGTCTCGTTACATTTACCTCCCACCTCCTACCCCCGCGTGTATGAATTCACCCGGCCCACCTGAGTTTGAATTTTCCAATGCACAAGTTTTTCCCTCACATTTTTCATTTTTTTTCACTCACACCCATCAAAAGCCCAACTCATGCATACTGTAAACGCAACAAAACATTCAAGTACTTACCGAGTGTTGTACTTAAAACATTTATTTTCATTATTCTCCACCCCCGTTCTTTACCTCGCGGCGGCATTAAAAGATCGATAGTAATGGGAGGATTAATTTTCAAATTTTCACCTTGCGTGCGGTTTAGCTGGGAGATAAAAAGTTGCGAATTTGTTGACAGTATTTGGGTGACGTGAAAAATCCATGGATGTTCGAACGACGGATTTGAATGTATAAAGAGGCGATTTAAATATCAGACTTTCTCTGAGGAACAGGGTTTTAAAACGAGCATCAGCAGTAAATGTAAAATAAATGTATAATCCTTAATACATTCGCGATATTAAGTATCTAATGTGTTTGTAGCTTAATGTCGTATTCTTGAGAACAAAGAGAGCATTATAGTTTAACGACATTGGCTCAAGCTCCTTCAAAGCTCAATAACGGAATAAAGGAATAAATAAAAAAAAAAAACATAAACAAAGTAAAGAGATAAAATTCTTGAATGTAAACTGTATGATACAATTGATCGTTATACGTTCCACTCGTTCTGTTCTTTAGCGAAACACTTTTGTCTTCACAAAACTGACTCCATATTTACATTTGAAAGAGAATGCAAGAGCAGTGGGAGATAACAACTTGAGAAACTAACGAGAAAGAAGTTGGGGTCGATTCCCGAGCCTGAGATATTCCCCCCGGATGATAAAATTGTAACAATCGATTTGTCGAAGGAGTCGACCCAACGGCCGAGGAACGATCGAGCCGCAGCTGAATTTAACAAACGAAGAGAAATATGTAATTTAAACTTGTATATAGGTACATTTTGTATATTGTTAAAAATTTGTGTGATATAAATGGTTATTTACTATTAAAAGAAGTGATGAGGTACGTCTGACCTATGGGTACCACCGGTGGCGGAAGATCCGGGATTTCGCCACCAGGGGTCACTGAGAATTGTACAATGTTACCGAGTTGACGAGTTTAACGTTTTGATGGTTCCATTTTCCTCAGTTTTGCGATATCGAAAATTCGCTATTGGTGTTCCTTATCCGATGTTATCGCTTTTAGGACTTTTTTTTTATCGACTCATCGTTGCAGTTTTACACACAATCTGATGGGAAACGCCATCTCGTCGACTTGGCAACACTGACATGCAGTTGCGACCACGCGACGTTCTCGGGTCGTTACGAATCGAGATATATCGACGTATTTGAGATGAAAATTGTGAGGGGAGATATTAGAGTTTATGGTGCGATCAATCTTCGAGACGTTCCAACGAGTTTTAATATTCCTTCCCGAGAACGTTGCCGAGTTGATGAACACGAGAGGTCGAGGTGGGGGGATGATACAAAGTGATCAATTCACGTTTAGTTAATTTTGTTATTTGATTTATCTCAACTTTAATGCCGAAAACTGGGGCACCTCTAGTCGGATGTCCTGGACACTTGTAAGATACTACGGCATACACGTTTATTAATTAATTAATAAAAAGAGAAGGAAAAATCCAAGTTTCTAGAAAAATTGGGAATGGTGTTTTTTTTTCATCCCTCTCAACGCATTCAAGAGAAGATTTTTTTTCAATGTACATTTTTTTTGTTTTTATATCCCTGTCATCATTATGGAATGGAGTCATTGCTGTTGTCAACCATGGAATTCTCATCTTGAGGAGCTCATTTTCTTGATGGTAAGTGCGGGAATTTCTTTGTTGTGACCGACAAACTTCTCAGAGATCGATGTTGCGACAATTTTTTTTTTGCCTGGCCTCAAGTTCATTTTGTTAATTAAAAGGATTTCACCTCGTGCCGGCGACGAATAAACGAAACAATTGCAAATAGAGATTATCTGTTCATTTATGACCCATATCCTGGACGGATGTGAAAAGTAGAAGAGGTTTCATCCCAAGAGTAGAAAAAATTCGAGATATTTGTTGTTTGTTGTTGAACCGCTTGTTTTGGACATCTCAAAATATCTCACGGTACAAACGGAGAAACTTTCGGTCGTCTCCAGCTAATTGTCAGGCGAATAAATCGAGGGAAGAGTTGGGTGTCGGAGAAGAACGAGACAGTTGTTACTGGCAACGAATCTTTGTGATCTCCTTCGTTAATTGGACTATATAAAATGGGAATACAAATACCACTCCGGGGATGTTATAAGGAGTTTGAAAAATACTGAGAGAAAATGGCAATAAAAGAGTTGCCAATTTTCTTAATGATACCTCCAACTTTTTAGCCGCATAATTTTTCATCATAAATCCCAACATTTTTGCCATTTTATGGCAAGTCCAAACGACCCTGAACAAGATCCAGTACTTGGGAGATGGGAAGAGGAATCCATCAGTCATGGTTGAATAGCTCCTCAACGATCGGAAATACCTGAACTATCCGGAGAAATAATATTATCTCTCAAATGAAAGAAATTTTAAAAATTCGTCTATCGTTACTCGCCATTTTATTGAATACAAAAAAACAAATATTCCCAGACCTGGAAAAATAGCGATTCTATGAAAATTCCGTTTTGCGTTTTATAAGGAGAAAACGATGGAAATTCCAGCCTCAGGCAAAATCACAGAGAAAGAAATTTCTCGTATCCAACTCTCTCCTTTTGTTTGACAACACAGTATTATTTCCTTCGCACTCGGTTTTTAAATCTGTTTACTTCCGTTATAATCTGTCCAGTTGAGTTCGCGAAAACCAAGTCTTCAAATAAATATTTATATCGATTGTAATCCATAAAAATAGCAATTCACGTTTTTCTAAGAGAGAATAATAATGAATTCCAGTTACATGAAGTTCCGTAGAAAGATAAATTTCTCAAATCAAATGCCGTCTTTTTCCCCCAGCAGAATACCATTTACTTAGCAATTCCCTTATCTTTCCAATTGTACTTCCACCAAAAAGTAACATTTTCCGAATGCAGCCAGAACCGAGTAATTTCATGAATCGAATTTATTTATTTGGAATATTTCAGATTAATTAATTCATAATCTATTAACGTATTCGGTGCATCTGTTACACCCATTAATTGCATTAACAACCTAGAGTTGGTTTCGTAAAAAACTACAGCACATCTAATTGGCATTGCCCGAAATTCGCAAAATGGAGGAAAGACGGTCGTAGTGTTGGAATCAATTCAGCACGAGGAAGGAAGAGATGGCTCTCATCTAGAGTCTCCAGTCCAGTCCAATCAAAATACCTATACAGGATGTATTGCCGTCAGGTC